AGTTGTAATCTTCATCTTGGTTTTAATGAAAATAAAAGACTTTGTGAGTTCTGTCTGCAAGGAAAAATACATAAACTTCCTTTTCCTAGTTCCAGTAATGACAGTTATGAAATTCTTGAACTTATTCATACAGATTTGTGGGGACCAGCCCCCATCAAATCTCATAATGGCTTTCATTACTATGTGAACTTTATAGACCATAAATCCAGATACTCTTGGCTTTACCTCCTCAAAAGCAAATCAGATACTCATGATGCCTTCATCCATTTTAAAAACCTTGTTGAAAACCAATTTGACAGAAAGATAAAAAATGTCCAAAGTGATGGAGGCACTGAATTCAAAGCCCTCTCAAACTTCTTCCTTAAGAATGGCATATTTCACAGAATATCTTGCCCTTACACACCTCAACAAAATGGTCTAGCTGAAAGAAAGCATAGACACATTGTTGAGATGGGTTTGTCTCTCTTGTCTCAGTCCTACCTTAACCATAAACATTGGGATGATGCATTTTTCACAGCCACATTCATCATAAACCGGTTACCCTCAAAGATCCTTGGGCTGAGATCACCATTGGAGCTGTTGACAGGAAAGAAGCCAGACTACTCAGCCCTCAAGGTATTTGGTTGCTGTTTAGCATAATAATGATGGGCATGTGGTAACCGAGCTACCCGACTCGGGTCGATCTCGAAGGAAGGCTATTCGGAGCTTCGTCTACTAGATGATCGTCCAAATCACAAAAATCGAAAATAAAATCCTAAACATTCTAAGCAATTGATTGGGAATTCGATTAACACTAACGAGCACTTAACAACGGGCAATTAATTGAAAGTAAGATTAAAAGACGAGCAATTAGCTAACTAGATCACCGGAGTCTCACGCCATAACCATAACGGGATGATAATCAATCGACATACGGAATACGAGCTACGAGCACTAGATAGCTAACCCTAATCGTCTAAACTAGATCAACGAGCAATTAACGACTCTATCTACTCAAGCAACGCCATCAAGCATAAGCATTTCCTCCATCATCAATCAAATCCACATTTACCCTAATAAGCATTATAAGTAAAAACGGAGCAAAAACCGAAGTAAAGAGCTTTAAAACTAAATACTCATTCTTCCATTGCGTAGACGATGAAAAACGGAGTCAAAAGCTCGAAACTTGAACGAAACCGAAGTCGCCGGAAAATCTCCCGGAAAATGACATAAGCTCCTAATCTAGAGAGCAAAATAAAATAAAAGCTGGTTTCCCAAAATGGGAAAAATGAAAAATGAAAGTTGGATCCCCAAAATACAAAGGAAAAAACATATTTATAGTGGTCTCCAAAAAGCACACACTAGGTGCACACACATTTAATGAATCTGCAGCTCGCAGGTCTCGAAATATTGTTCGCAGCGAGTTGGGAAGAAAATAACACACAAAAATGCACTTCGCAGCTCGCCAAATGAAGTTCGCGTGCGAGTGCTAGGCTAAGGGGGCACAAGTTGCTGTTTCGCTGGGCGCCAAATTTGGTTCGCAGAGAGTGCATGGATGGTGAGGTGCAAGCAAGTCGTTTCGCAGGGCGCCAAATGCAGTTCGCGGCGAGTGCCACCCTTCTCTTGCGCATAGAAGGTTGTTTCGCGGGTCTCGAAAATGAACTCGCGGGCGAGTGTCTAGGATTGGCCACCAAGTACCCTCATGTGGTCCGCGAATTGGATTTCGCGGCGAATGTGACCTTCAACTTGATCCCTTCACTCGGGTGACTCAAAGGTGATCTCTATCAAGAAAGCTCATATAGCTCGATCAAATGGCTAGACTTTCTCATCTCGGAATGGCTCGGCATCAAGAATATGGACAATGGTTTGGACAATGGCTCGTCTTCTCCCAATCACGCACAATGTGGACCTACATACACCAAAGGAGACAAGGAAATACGCCAAAAAATACAAAAACAAAAGAGAAAATAAAATCACACGGAAACAACTAAAATGGACCGATTAGACAAGAAAACAAACCTAAGATCGACTCAACTACACACATAAACACATGAAAATAAGCACAAAAACACAATAAACAGTTGCCTATGCTTTCCTTACTTGAGACCCTATAATAAACACAAATTGGAACCTAGAACACAACCCTCCACGTTTCTTGGTTACAGTCAGCAATACAAAGGGTACAAGGCCATGCTACCTAGTGGTAAAATCATCATCACTAGACACATTCACTTTGATGAAAACACCTTTCCACAGCAACAGAAAATAGACTCAAAGAGAAACACAGATCCTATCCCTCAAATCTTACCTCAAACCATCTTGCAGATTCCTATTAATCCTAAGCCACATACCTCTCCTATTAACCCAAGTACCAACCACACACCAAACACTCAAAGTCATTCCTCTCATCACAGAACAACACCTATCTCTTCTCAGCATTCATCTATACCCATAGGAGAGCTCTTTATAGATTTACCAATTGAAAGAGTTGAAGAGAATCTAACCAACTCTACACCTGCAAGTGAATTTCATGATCTTATGCAGGATAATGCTCATCCCATGATAACAAGAGCCAAGGCAGGAATTCACAAACCAAAAGTATATTTTGAAAATGTTGCAAATGAAGGTATGAAAGCTCCAACAGAACCAAGGAGCATTGATGAAGCTTTTGAATCCAATGAGTGGAAAGAGGCTATGAATAAGGAATACCAGGCTCTTATCAAGAACAACACTTGGTGTTTATGTCCAGCCCCTAAACACAAGGATGTAATAGGGAGCAAATGGGTTTTTAAATTAAAGAAGAACCCTGATGGCAGTATAGCAAGGCACAAAGCTAGATTGGTGGCCAAAGGGTTCACTCAACAGCCAGGCCTTGATTATACAGACACTTACAGCCCAGTCATCAAACCAGTTACCATAAGGACAGTTCTGGCCATTGCTCTATCAAAGTCTTGGAGAATTAGACAGGTTGACATTGATAATGCTTTTCTATATGGAGACTTAGATACAGATCTGTATATGGAGCAGCCAGCTGGATTTGAAGAGTTTGATAAGGATGGAAAGCCTCTGGTATGCAAATTACAGAAGTCCATATATGGACTTAAACAAGCATCAATAGCATGGTCTTCAAAGTTGACTCAAGTATTGAACTTGCTGAGCTTTACTATGGCAAAGGCTGATTCCTCCTTATTTTTCAAACACAAAGGGAACAAGACTACTTTGGTTCTGTCCTATGTTGATGATTTGATAATAACAGGTGATGACAGTGACTACATTCAACATGTCATTGAGGAATTAGAAGGAAAGTTCTCATTGAAAGACCTTGGTGAGCTGAATTATTTTCTTGGTTTGGAGGTAATAAAAAATGAAGATGGAATATTTCTCTCACAGAAAAGCTATATTGAAGACATCCTGCACAAATCAAGGATGGAAGGCAGCAAACCTTTCAAGACTCCAATGGTCAACATGCCTTTGACAAAATCAGAAGGGCAACCAATATCAGATGTGTACTCTTATAGAAGTTTAATAGGAGCACTTCAGTATGCAAGCATCACCAGACCAGATATTGCATTTAGTGTCAATAAGTTAAGTCAATTCATGCAAAGTCCATCTAACACTCACTCAAAGGCACTGAAAAGGCTGCTAAGGTATCTATCAGGCACAAGGGATTTTGGACTGCAATTCTACAAAGATTCTAATAGCAAAATCATTGCATTTGCTGATGCTGATTGGGCCTCAGATCTTGATGATAGAAAATCCACATCAGGGATTTGTGTATTCTTAGGAAAGAATCTTGTAGCTTGGAGTTCGAAGAAGCAAAAATCTGTGTCCAGGTCCAGCACTGAATCTGAGTTAAGAAGCTTGGCATCAACCACTTGTGAAGTTTTGTGGCTACAGTCATTGTTGAAGGAATTGCAGATTAATCATCAAAACCCTTCTACCATCTGGGTAGATAATAGAGGAGCCATTGCCTTGGCCTGCAATCCAATTCAGCATTCAAGAACAAAGCATGTTGACATTGATATGCAGTTCATAAGAGAACAAGTAAACAAGAAGATCATTGCCATCCAGCATGTCCCTACTTTGTACCAGGTTGCTGATATTCTTACAAAACCACTAAGTGGACAATTCTTCAATCGACTTCGAAATCAACTTAATGTCTTACCAAAATCGATGTTCGAATTGAGGGAGGATAAAAGGAAGAGCATTCCATATCAGCAACATTTTCCACGTCAATATGCTCACATGGGACAAGCTCATCTCACTCACACTGATGATATGTTGCAGAAGGACAAAATGGAATCAGTGCATGCAGCCATGCATGTGGACAAAGTAGCAAAACGACCTCTGCCACACAAATGAGGGATTTGTCCTTTTTACCTTTATCTTAGAGTAAAATGTGTATTTTGAATTTTATTTTTACCTAGTCTAGATCCTTCCTACCTCATGTATAAATAGGAGCAGCTGAGATATGACTAAGGGTGTGAAAAACATTACAATCGAATTATTCTTGGTGATTCCAGTAAAAAGCTTTCTGTTAAATTCCTTTATGTTTCATATGGAAATTTCACAATATGCAATATTGCATATCATTATTATCCGTTAAGAATTATGTATTTCAACACTTGAAGAAGAAGAAGAAGAAGAAGAAGAAGAAGAAGAAGAAGAAGAAGAAGAAAATTAATATAAATTTCGTACCCATTCCATTATTGTATGTGTTTTGTTTGTTTTAGGATAATAAATTTCGTACCCATTCCATTATTGTATGTGTTTTGTTTGTTTTTCCTAATAATAAGGTAACTAAAAAGAGGATAGTTAGTTGGTTACAAAATGTGAGCTCAGATTCATTAGTTTCCAACTTCTTTACTCTGACCATCCATCAAATAACTGACATCCTTGAATACCTTCCAGTTAGATTCTTTTTTTCTTTCTTTCCAACTTTCTTTCTTTTTTGGATCATAGATTGATCCAAAAAACAATAAAAGAAAGTGAATCAACAATAACACTTTTGATCATTGGCAATGGCGTATAGGAGGAGGCAAGGAGGGATGGGAAGATCATCGGATATGATGTCATTACAGGCCGTTGCTGACCACACATCATCATCGTCATCATCATCATCATCTCTAGCGGCACAAGCCATTATGGCCCATCGAGTAATTAATTAAAAGCTTTTAATTAATTAATTACTCATACACAGATGATCGAGTAACTCATTATTTACGTACACATGATATATCTAATTTGATGTCATTGAAAACTAAATATAGGGAGGTCCTACCTATGACTATACATCAATGGGAAGTTCAAATGAGGCAGGCAGCTTTTGGGGTGTTCTTGCAAGAAAAGCAAAAGAAATTCTTGATGATGATAATAATAATAATAATAATAATGTTCCATATCAATCTGAGTATCTTAACCCTACAAGAGTACAAGATATAATAACAACAAACTATTCATTAAAGATTGATCAGGTTATTACATTTCCCTTTTCTTTTTCTTTCTTTTTTTTTTTTT